GCACGCCCATCAGGCATATTTGCTATAATTTTTCGTTACGTCGCGCCGTCAACTGCGTCGATTGTCACACAGCAACGGTATACGAAATGCCTGCAAATGCCCCAGCGATTTTAATTGCAGTCGTAAATTAATCCAAATTGCGTGCCAAATAACAGCAACAACAACTACAACAAAGGCAATAGGAGCAGCACTAGCAATAGCTTCAGCTCCCCTTTCAGGTGACGAAGCACAAAAAAAAACAAAAGTCGTGTGAACCACTCAAGCTGTGCCGCCGCCTGCAGCCCACTGCAGTTGTGGTTGCTTGCGGCTTACTGCGGACCATGCTTATCCTCAGCTCTATGGCGTCCACAATTTAGATTGCAGCCATTGTGTCGGCACTGGCCTTTGAACTGACTCCCAGATAATGGAAAACTAGCTGGGTTGGCCTAGGTTCAGGATGACAGATTAGGCGAGCGATTAGCACAGGCATTTCCATCATATGGGAGAGGCATTCAGTATTGCTCATGTGTCTAGAGGGAACTAGGGAACTATGCAATATTGTATTTTCGAGTTCGAATCTGCTCATAGATCTATATTGGGCAATTAGAAGTGGTTCTAAATAGAGTAGAGAATGCAAGAAATTCAAAAACTTTTCATTTACTTAACTGACTAATAATTCTAAGCAATTTAAGAATTACTTATCATGATAAATATTCCCCTATTTATTTTCACTAAAACCATTAAAAATGTTTATAGTTCCGGGAATAAAATACATATTATTTATAATTCGTAAAATTTAAATTTTATCTAAAGCCAAATCACACCTGAAGCAATTCATTCAACAGGTTGGCTTATGAGCGAGCTTGGAGTATATACATATATGTCTATATATATATATTTTTAACTGCCTCGTAAGAGGTGCTTCCCCAGTCAAAAATGACAATTTGATGTCCGCATTTACTTCGGGACACTTAAAAATAGCTTTATTGCCCCATGGCGTAACACTTTTAATTTAGACGTGCGACTTTTGTGAGGCTATTAAAAGGAAAGAATTGGCTTTACTCGGAACGAAGAGGGTCGATGGCATCGCCGACGCCAACGCCAACTGGACAGAGTGCATCAGTCAAGTGGCTGGACACGTTAATTAGGCGCTTAAAAGGGCTCCTCTATGGCCATTTAATGACAGCCTTTCGATTGGCCGCCGACGCCCCATCTAAATCCCTGAGCGGGGGCTATCTCTATGGCGCGGTTGGCCACAATTAATCCATGGCTTAAGTAATTGACGAATGATTACACATCGGACATATGGCGGCTACAACGGGCGTTGGCAACAGCTAAATGGGGCGTCATAGAGATAGAGTCATCCAACGGCTCATGGCCCATGGCACTTGATAGACGGCTCTGTTTGGCCAGTCAAAGTTGATTTTTGCGTTATCAATGTGCCTGGCACCGGCCAGGAGAAGATTACGCAAAGGACACTTACGAAGGGGCGGCCCAGCTGCGTCGTTTTGTTGCCAGGAAATGCTGCTCCGCCGGCTCCTGGTGCTGCTGCTGCTACTGCTGCTGCTGCTGTTGCTCCTTGAATGGATTGCGTAAACTTATCCAAGTGTCGCAGCTGCTCTTATGTTGACTCCTTGACGCCTCATTGTGTGACATGTGAGCCAAGCCAAAGTCCTTTGTGTGGACCTGTCGACGTGGCCATCCATTTGTGCGATTAGTTTTTGGCCATACAATGAACTGCAGCATCGAGGACAGTGCATAATAGTCCTGCCCCTTTCTGCGTTAAGCTGCATAACAGCTCTCAGCCCTCTCTCTGTCTCTGTCTCTGTCTCTGTCTCTGTCTCTGTCTCTGTCTGACTCTGCATCTAGTTGTAGCACTTCACCAGCCAGCTGAGAGCTGCTTTCAACAAGACATTACCCAGGTGCATGCTTATTACGCGCCATACCATACGACTTTGTAATGGACTAAATTTATCACAGGTCGCGGCATTATATAACGCATCCATGGCAACCATAATGGAGTACTACTGTACTGCGCCAAGGCGAACACGCAATACTCTTAAAGAGCTCTCCAGTCAGCTTTGTCTGATTTGATATACGGCTCTCTGAGTATAATCAAATTTGCATAGATGATAAATCAATCAAATTTATAATATAAATATTTATTTATAGCATATCTGATATAAGACATTTACTATATTTATATGTAGTCCATATGTAATGCTTGAATTTTACTCTGGCCATACGATGTCAGTCTTACAGCTATTAGACTATATATAACCAAGTCCAGTGGAGCAGTAAATAGCCTTCAAGCATATAAATATATACACTAAGAGACAAATATATGTACATCACTGAAGCATTTCCTATTTTGGACTTGTGAATGGCAATGCCTATACTCTAAATTAATTTATAATTTTATTTTATAGTTTATGCCTAATATATAAATAAATAATAACAAAATTCAGAATAATTGCTTTAAGGGTACACATATATTTGTCGCGCACTGTGCACACCAGATTCATGTTTTACATTCAAATACTCTGCCTAAAGGGCAAGCACATATAAAATGTAGGTAAACCAGGAAAGCGCAGCAGTTGCCATAATTTCTTGGCAATTCTTAACTTTTTAAGTCAGCTGCCACGCCTACACAGCCACGCCCACACATCCATGTACCGCTGTGATCAGTGCAGCGCAGCGGGGCAGTTGGTGGGGGCCAGTGCGTGGCGCTCTGTCATAATTTACTTCCATGCATAGCTTAACTCTTCAGCGGCTTTGCGGAATGATGATTTATTAAGTCAAAATTATTTTGCTTTCCCTGTTGCTTGCAGGCTCCTGTTTGGAATTTGGACACTCGTGCTGGGGCGGTAAGTTGTAAACTGACATTACATATATGCCATCATCCTATATCTATCTCTCTCTCCCTCTCTCACTCTGATTGGCATAGCTCACGGCAAGCGGTCGGGCAGCCGGGCGGCAATTGCAGCTAAGCAGGTGAGTTCCCCATCGCGATGATGTGACAAATGTTGAGCCACACCATACAGCACCATTATTATCGAGCTAATCTTATCCGACAGCATTTAGCCTCAGCTGGATTTAT